TGGGGGGTGTCCGTGCTTTGAGGCAACGGCTGTTTCACACCTCCGCTCCCCAGAGCTGTGGGCCCTGCCCGAGGCGGGGAAAGTTCAGGTCCATCTTAAGCCTGAGCCCGTCAGCGTGCTCAGGGTCTGAAGCGGTGAGAGGACGGGATTTCTGTGTGCACTGCCCAGCCTCGGGGGTGGAGAAGTGAGTAAGCCCTGCTAAACCTGAACTCTCAGGGTGGGCTTCTGGTACACAAGGCCGTACCAAAGAGAAATGCCACCTGGTAGTCAGGCTGTCGTCTCTTCTTACAGCTAGCAGCAGTGTCACAGAGTTGAGTGTTGAGAGTCAGTATTGTAGGTTAGGAGAGTTGACTGTTTAGTTCTCCCTGTTACCTAATGTTATAAACTTAGAAGTGTAAAAGTATTTTAGAATGGCGATTGGATGTAGCATATGAGTTTGGGGTTTTTTTCGGTGTTTTTTTTTTTTTTAAGTTCCTGTGAGTAGTGCTGCTTTCTTTTGTTATAATGTGAACTTCTAATCTGACTTCTAGTTTCTTAACAGCGTGCAGCTATGGGTATTATCGACAGAATAATGATGACATATCTTAAAATATAACTATGAATTCGTCTTTTGGCTGTCTTGAGTACAGTCCCCTCTTCCCCCAAAGCCTTTTGATATTGCTAAACTTATTTGTAATTTGTCATCTCTCTGTTACTCTAAAGCTAACTATATGTTTGTAAAATATGTTTTTCTTCTATCCTACAGTGCTTCACATGTAGTCGTCTCTCTTGTGAAAAACTATCCAAACTATCTGATTATAAATCTAGATAAGGTAATAACTTGTTTTCTTTTTTGATATGGAGACTGTTTTAAATGATTTTTTAATGTGATCTATATCATGTTGAAATTTATATGGGTTATTGTTATTTATTAATTTTTTGTTTGACTATCCATTTGTTTCTATGCAAAAAAAAAAATCAACTGCTGTTCATGTGCCCACCACTAATAATTATTTGGAAAGAAAAAAAAGGAAGATTTTGAAGTTCTAAACTTCTGTTTAAAAATTTTTACAGTTAGGATATTTTTCAGAGTTTTGTGTTTTTAAAACTTCATCACATCTGCTTGCAAAATAACTTTTCTCTTGAAAGAAGTTTTTACTTTGTTCTCACACTTTCTGGTGATTAAGTTGGGGCTGAGTTAGCTTATTTACTTTCATGAAGCCCATTTAATGCTACTGTGTGGATATTTCTCTTTAGCTCAACTACTGTGCAAGCTTGAAGAATCTTGAAACTATCTCCGAGAAGGAAAACTACAAGTTTGTCCAGGTGATAAAGCTTTCTCTTCTAGGAAACTTGATTTTTTACTGATTTTTATGCCTTTATATCAAGGTAATGTGGTCTGCAGAGCTCCCCAAACTAGAAGCCACCACTTTCATTTGTGGTAAAGTTGAAATTACTTCTATTAATTCATTGTCAAGAATGAATCGGTGTATGTAATATGCCAATGTATGTGACAATCAGATGGACATAACAGCATTTACTTATCTGTTTACCTTTAGTAGTAGACTTCTTATTTCAGCCACAGAAGTCTGTAACAATATGCATTATGTTCTGTGTCTTACATGAAGTAGTCTTTTGAATGTTGATATATTTTGTTGCATAATAAAGGTACAGAATTGGTAAAAGCCTGACTATGGAGGTGAGTGGGTTTAGGGATGATTGTTTCACTGTTGATAGGTGGTATGGGCAAGACGGACTCAGATTTGGCTCCTCGATGCTTCTGTGATGCTATCTTAGATTTTGCACCTTCAAACACTGCCGTTTGTTATATTCTGTGGTGTGCAACGCACTCTTTCTTGTTATGTTAGTACTAGACATCAGGTTACATTCTTGCTTTTGATGCTGTGTAGTTCATAGCTGTTTTGGAACAAGGTCTCATGGGAACATTCAAGGTATGCCTTTTCTTTTTAAAATTTTGCCAATTAAATTAGTTTACTGTTTTCACAGTTTTATCTTCAGACAGAAGATCGATTTGTTTGTGCTTTGTTTTTTGGTTTTTTTTTTTTTTTTGGTTCAGATAGACATTCTGACTGCTGGATTTGTATGCTGAGATTCTTCCCTTCTATGAAAGTCGGTACTGGTGCTGGACTCTCTGTTTAGCTGGGCTGCCTGAGGTTGCAGGACATGAGAAATGCATATAGTTTAGTTTTCTGAAATAGCAACTTTGGGGCAACTTTGTCAGAGAGAGTAGATGCAAGTTAAACATATCTCTTAGATTCAGGCAAGGTTGGGAATTGAACTTGTCCTCACCTGTTTGGTGACCCCCATGGCTGTTTACATTTCTGTGAACCTACCTCTTTGTTTCAGTAAGTCATTCTCTCTGAGCTGCTGGGATAAAAGTTGCATGAGGAGAAAGGGGATGTCTACTAAGCAAATGTACGCTTTTTCAGCATGCCCAGACTGGGTTTTTGGTTATTTTTCCCAATGTTTTTGACAGTTTGAATATGATATGAAATGTATGAATGCTGTAGAGAAGCCTCGTTACCTGGATATATGTTAACATTTAGTTGCTGGGGATAGCATGAAGTTCTAGAAGGCATCCTGTAAACAGTGAGATCCCTATGTGAAGCAGGGGAATAGTAACAAGGAATGATGTAGCTATACTGCTTCTGAACTAGAGTACGAATGTGTTCTCACAAAACTTAAACTGGTATAATTAATTCCAGTTTTTCAGTTCGTGATGTGTTTTGTGTGATTTTTGTGGTGTGGGTTTTTTCTGCCTTTTTTTTTTTTTTAAAGGAAGGTTGATCAGAGCTTAATATGCATCTGGTATGCAGTCAGGCAGTTTACACTGATAGGAAAAAATGCACAAATGCACTGGAAAAAAATGTCTGATGGCAAGCCCTACAATCAGAACTGTAGCAGTATTACTGGCCTTAGGAGAGACCAGGAAGGATAAACACTCTAGTGGTGCTGAGAAAAGAAGACTGTTTTAGAAGGTAGAGAAGTAAAAGTTTAGAAAATCTGTGTAGCGGATTGTATGAAAGATACAATTTCTGTTGTTAGCATAGATGTATTGAGTTTGAATTTCAGTTTTAAAAAAAGTCAGTATTTGTAACCATTTAGTGCAAAATAATGTATGAGCCTGAAGTGTATTTACTCAAGTGTTTCAGTTCTTTTGGAGATGAGAAGTAGGAAAATCAGTTCATCTTCCTCCTATTTTTGACATATAGTACTTATCTGAGGCTGTTGTTCAGAATTGTTGCTTGAGAACTTCTTAAAACATAGGTGCATTTGAACTATTTTTAGTTAATTGCCTTGTTATTAAAAATACAGAAGTCTTCCTCCACAAGACACCCTTTGTGAGGTACTGTCTTGATTAAGTTGAGCCAATGGATAAATATCAAAAGCTTTTTCTCAGTTTGCATTTACCTTTAAAAGCTGCTGTTGCTTCTGTGTCAAACTAAACAATGGCTTATGTGTTGATGTCTGACTCTATTCTAAATATACCAGTTTAAAAAAAAAATAAATTACCAGAACAAACAATAAAACCCATAATCCTTGCAAGACATCCAACCATCTATTTTGACAAAAGTGGAAATCCACTTCAGCTTTTGTAATGCCAGTAGATGTCACTGTCCGTTAGCCAGACTCCAGTAACTCTCTTACTTGCTGTCCGAACTTGTCCTTTCAAGCTCAGCATTCAGGCTACACACTGTACTTCTGTTGTGTATGTTTTGGGAGTGATACTGTTTCTGATGTTAAATACTAACATAAATCCTGAAATAAATTCCATTGAGGTTGTTGCTCAAAATGTGTGAAATTTATATCTGGTCTTATTTTAGGCATGGCATTGATAAATTGGCCAAAACTCAGTTGGTAGTGCAATTTGTATCCTGTGCTTCCTTTGTAATGGTTTGTTATGTGATGCTTGGTACAAGTGAAAGCTTACTATTTTCTATCAAAAATAATTTGTTAATGATTCTTTTTTTCTCCTGTTTAGGGAGATATTTGTGAACCTGATTTTATAAAACAGCTCTTCGAAACTGAGAAAATAGATATAGTCCTTCATTTTGCAGCTCAAACACATGTAGGTGAGCATTGTTGCATGTTTTGATATTATTTTCCGTGAGTATATTTGTTTGAAATGTATACTGATATTTTTTGTCTTTTCCTTTTATATAAAACAAGGATACAGTTTGTTTCTACAAACTACATGATTCAATGTCTGGTGGCCTTTTTAACTTAAAGGCATTCACAGCCTTAATTTAAAAAGTGCTTCATGTGACTGTCTATTTTCTTTGTGTATAAATGGTAATATCTTTTTTTTATTACATTTTTAAATTCCATCTAGACACAGATGTAATTGACAGTGTACTGGTGGAGTCATTAAGGCCATGGAAAAAGAGTTTGTACATAGTCTTAAGTTTTTACTTGATTGGCGTCAGCCTTGCAGGAAAAAAACACAGTGTGGAAGCTGAAGGATGAGACATAGCTCCCTTCAGAATCCTGCCTGGATTCTAAAAAGAGAGAATGAATTACACTTAAAAATGCCTATTTCAGATTACCACTCTTCAGTAACACTGTTAATGAGAACTATCCCTACCATACTCCTTCCATCATGAGAAGAAATCCTTGAAAAATTCTCCAGGAAAATACTTCTCAAAATTGTCAGGTTTGATATGCACGAAGTCATTACGTCAGTGGGATAATTCTAAGAATTAAAACAGGTGCTAGTTAATTAACAGTAATAGGTGCATGTTACTGCATCTTACAACTGTCTTTGAATGATACTTTTCTTACTGAGCTTGGCCCTTCCTAGTGGAGAGAGGAAGTAGTTATGCTGCCACTTAAATGAAGTTAGATAATGCTATTTCAAATGGAACTGTCTGTAGCCAACAAGCTTTTCCTCCTAATTCCAGCCTCTTGCTGACAGCAAGGTTTTTGTCTTCAAGTAAGTGTAGAAAGTGTCTTCATTTAATGATGACCTTGCTATCTGACGATCAAAGAACTCGTGATAATGTTCCAGTCTGTATTGCAGTAGGAAGCCATGTCTTGCCTAAATTTAATCAGAACTGTCCAATTTTTTTTTTTAATGTAGATCTTTCATTTTGGCATGCCCTGGAGTTCACCTATGTGAATGTTTATGGCACTAATGTGCTGGTTGCTGCTGCTTATGAAGCCAATGTGGAGAAGTTTGTCTATGTTAGTACAGATGAAGTATATGGAGGTAGCACTGATGAGGTGAGTTTGAAAGTCCATCAGGGTTTTTCTAGCTTTACTTACTTTTAATAGTGAAAACAAAATGAGTCTAACTTTCCTTGGCTTCTGTAAGTGTATGACTTCTGAGCTATTTCTGACAAAACTAGAACTTGTGAACAGTGATTGTTTCTAGAAAGCTAAGTATCACAATTGTCCTGAATTTTTTTGTAGCGTGTTTTGTATTGAATGTGTGTTACCTAAAGCAGTGAGATTGAGGTCATTAATGACATATGTGAATATACTCCTCAGAGTTAGTGTCAGAGGAATGTATTATACAAATTTTGCCATGTAGCATTTATGAGACTTCAGTAATGCGCACAGTATGTTGTTCTTTTTTAATTTTGTTTTTTCCTGCTTTGCCTTAACTATGAACTTGATAGGTAGGGAAATAGATTTATACTGTAGCTAAAATACTAACAGAACTGTAGGTAGTGACAATTCGAAGAGGAAACAGTTCCTATATTACTGGAAGAAATATGCAGATGTTTCTTATTGTTATATGGAAATCTTTTTGGTCCTTGCCATTTTATACCTGACCTTAATTCAGGAAATGTAATTTAGCTCAGGAAAAAGACAAATTATGCATGCTGGTCTTTAGAAAAGCATAAATAATGACCAAGGAGTCTTGTGCCATAGTCCATGAAAATATTAAATCTATTTCTGAAAAGTCCTGTGCACTTTCTTGTTGCACCATCTTTATCGGTTCCTTCAGCACAACTTCAGTCTACAAACTTTTATGATACCCAAGGATGTTGTTTTCTTGCACATAGACCAGTGATTTGGCTGAGATAACTTCAAGTGAACTGTTTCTGCCTCTGGGTCTTGAAAAGAACACTTTCATTTATTCTGTTTTTTCTAAATCATAGTAGAAGTTCTTAAAGAGGTTTTTTTTCGGGGAGGGTGAAGATCAAAAAATAAATGGAGGTCAATTAATTTCAGAGGCAAAGGTCTGACAAGAACATGTTAATCGCATTTAATCACATTTTAAGGTGATTGTTGTGAATTGCACCTCAGGCAGTGTAGAATCCCTCCTTCCTTTGTTCATTATTGTATCTGGTTTTGTGGGTTGGTTGGTTGGTTTTTTTGTGGGGTGTGGTGGGGTTTTTTTTGGTTTGTGTGTGTGGTTTGTGGTTGTTTTTTTTTTCCCCCTCCAAGTGAGAAGTAGATAGAAGTGACAGGATAGCCATGAAGCTGCCTGTTCTGGAAGAGGTCAGAATTGTTGAACCCTTGGTTTGGAGGACTTTAGGTTGCAATTCTACTTTTCTTATAAAAATAAAATTTTTAGAAGAGGGAGAATGGACCCTTTTTATTTAGGACTGAAAGGTCAATTTGCTAGCAGTGGTACAATGGCACTCTGAGGCAATAAGAGCCTGAAAAGGATTCAACTTCCCTGTGTCAACAGTAATTACTTTACAAGATAAAAATCTAAGGACCTGCTACTGTGAGGTACTCTGCTAGGAGTATAAAAATATTACTGCTGGTATTCTGGCCACCTCCTGTGTTTGATAAATAGACTGTCTTTTATTACTGGTCTTCTACTGTAAGTGGAAGGGTGACTTCCTCAGACTGGTGTGCTTGGACATTTAGGGTTTTTTTTCATTTGCGACTGCAGCTTTTGTAATTTTAAGACTTATCTGGGCGAAAGAAACTGAGTAGTAATGCAGATTTTTCTTTTCATTTTAGGAATTTGATGAATCCTCACCAAAACGCCCAACAAATCCCTATGCCTCCTCTAAAGCAGCTGCAGAGTGTTTTGTTCAGTCTTACTGGGAAAGGTACCAAGTAAGTTGATGCAAGCTTCAAAAACTCTAAAGCCCATAGTTAAGTGTCTCTATTGCATATATAAGAGTATAAAACAAAAATCAGTGCTAATCCACATGGTGCCTCGTCTTTCTGATTGCTGATCTTGTAGTTTGGATGTGTCAAAGTATGTCCACCACTTACTGGTGGAGATACACTGCAGGACAGTGGGGAGAGGTCAAATGTTTTTAAAATTTTTTTGAAGATCTGAATTGGAATGTCTAAAAGTGTTCTGTGATAAAATGGTCAAAGAGAACATTAGCAATTTAAAAAACAGTGTTAAGCTTGAAGGAAATATATTTATACAGAAGCAGAATATGCAAAATTCAAATTGTATTGAAACTAGGCTTATAGTGAAAGCAAAACAAAAAAGGAGAAAAAACCCACCCTATTACTCAGATTTGTTTAAGCAAAAATATTTTAAATTTTGAATACTTCAGTATTTTGGTTTTGACATGTCCTTTTGTCCTTTTTATGTGTTGGTTTTTGACATAAGTTTGACTTGAATAAGATGTTGATGACTCTGAAACATTTTCTTGGAATAAGAAGTAGTAAGCCAGTCCTCAGTCAACCAGATACATGTATGTAATGTCCTATGGTGGTTCCATAGCAAGACTGACAGATTGCAAACATTTGTCACTTGTGGTGCTTCTAACAGACAGAGAAGGCTGGAGGCCCTTGCCTATTTGATCGAAGTATGGATAGCTAAATTCATGAATGTTTGTAAGGCCTTGCAGATTTTGAATAAGCACTGTGGGTGTGTCAGTTTATTATTTATTGATCAGCAAGAAACCTACAGATTTTTTACTGGTATGTATTTTCTTATGTAATCACGTGGATGTTTAATACTCTTAAGTTCCCAGTTGTTATCACACGGAGCAGTAATGTTTACGGACCACACCAGTATCCAGAAAAAGTAAGTTAAACCGATGCTTTACTCTGAGCTTCAGTGTACCATAATTCAGGGTTACAGTGATATTACTTTTTTTCTCATAAGAATGGACTGACTTTTGAAAAAACACGGTCTTGCAAGTATATTTGTCCACGCTCACCTGTGATTATATATTTTCATCTCGCACTAACATGTTTTACCATCGATGCAATGAACACATGTGTTTCGGTTGTCAGTAAAACATCAATTAGAGATTTCTAGTTATTTACACGAATTTTACTACGTTGACTTTATCTTGTAATTTTTCTATTTTTTCAAAGGATATTTAACTGCCCTATGTCTGGCAGAGTTCCCCTACAAATTACATAAACTCACATGTGATGTGCTGTAATTAGGAATGCTTAATAACTAGGGTAAACATTTCAAAAAGTAAATTGTGAGAGAGCAACATGTTTGGTATAGAAAGAGATGTTCCAGCCTGTGCAGAAAGTAGGTGAGATAAAGCTGTAGCAATCAGATATAAGGCGAGAAGTTTCGCAAAGCGACTTGTTCTATGCGTGTGTCCATGCATACGTTGCAGGGTAGCCATTTAAAATGGTTATAAGTGAGAGGGAGTTGCCTTTGTAGGCAATACCAAGATCTGCTATGCTAGTGAACGGAAATAGGCTGATGGAATGAGAGTGATAATAATATGTATTTTTTGGAGTTTGGAGCTTATGTGAAATGCAGCTAAATTTTGTAGTTCTAATGAAGTATTTTTTAATTTGAATTGCTTTTTATGTGTTAGGGGGTTTTGCAATAATGTAGAAGACATTTATTTGCAGGTGGATAAGCAGTGGTTTTTAAAATATATTTTTCATTGATGTGTGGCTTGGGAAATGTCGGGCTACAGGTTGCGTGATGTTGGGAGTATATTCAGGGGATGTATCACTACTTACTTGCTTTTAGCATATATATATTCTTCCTCAAGTATCCACTTTTAGTTACTGCTAAGAACACAGTAGTAGGCTAGATAGATCTTTAGTTTTACCTCATACGTCTGCTCCTTTGTTTAGAGTAGTAAGTTAACAAAATTAAAAGAATTGGAATAGCTTTTAATGGCTTCAGTTTAAAAACTTTGATAGCGGGGCCAACTGTTTTGGAGTTTCTGGGACATTATGAGTGAATCTAAGCTTGTAACTGAACATAGTATTGTAAATCTTTATGCTGCAAGCTAGTGGCTATCGCTTGATCCGTGTTTACTTATCTTGAAATTCTCAATTGGTTCTCTTCCAAATTTAACTATTTTAATGACTCTTTCTTTTTGACTATAGATTTACTGCAGCTGGCTGGATGTTTAAACCGTTTTCTAAACTGTTTGCAGTGGTTATCCCCAGTTAGACTCTAGTGCGCTTCTGTACACGAAAAGTAATACAACCATTTTCTTTTGTAAAAATGTTACATTTGTAACTACTGATTTGTGATGGTTGGCCGGGCAGGTAAGCTTTACAACAAAATAGAGGTATCTACTCTTAAAAAAACCCCAAAACTAAATCCTTGCAGTTTTTAGGCTTGATGCATTCTTTGATTAGACTTAAGAAAACTTCAAAGTATTTGAAGGGTCTTATTAAAATACTTAATGATACTCACTGCTGAAGCCCCATGTTCTTTGCAGAATAACAGCTTCTGAAATAGTGAAGTAATGGATGTGTGTGTGTTTTGTTTTTTTTTTTTCCCAAATCCTTAGGTTATTCCAAAGTTTATATCTTTGTTGCAACAGAACAGAAAATGGTATGTAATTTGCTTTTATGTTTGTGGTATTTGTGCCATAAAACTGTAATTACAGTTATAAATATGTGGTATAGTTTGTAAAATTATAATTTCGTAACTAAGTTACGAATTGCTTATTTTAGTAATAGGATTTCTGTAAACTAAAGGATTGTTTGCGTATCAGCTACTTAAGGTACCTTCAGGTAACGGCTAACAGCAGAACTGCTTAAAACACAGTCTAATAGATTGAATGCTTCTAGTTAAGGATTAACAAAAATTTCTTTCCTTTTCCTGGTTTTAAGCTGTATTCATGGTTCTGGACTTCAAAGAAGAAATTTCCTTTATGCAACGGATGTGGTAGAAGCATTCCTTACTGTCCTGAAGGAGGGGAAGCCAGGTGAAATTTATAACATTGGAACTAACTTTGAGATGTCCATTGCCCAGCTTGCTAAGGAGTTAATCCATTTAGTGAGTAAGCAGTTCTGATGCTTTTCTTTACTGGTCATTGCACGTAGGAACAATTCTACTACAAACCTTTTGTACCTCTGAGAGAGCTTAGGCTTGTGATGGGTCTTAGAAGATAATTGTAGCAACGATGTGCTGCCGTACGATGTGAGTTTGCAGTACAGGCTATTGTGTGTTGCACTGCCTAATCAGTTATCACGACTGGGACATAACTGGCATAATGATTAAATACCATTTGGTAGGGGTTTTTTTCATGCTGGCTGCTTCAGTTTTGGTCTGAGAATGTGGCACTATCAAAATGTAACAATTTGATTATGAATGGTTAGGCGGTGCTTGAATGAAGGAGAAGTATTGGAATTGTTCTAGATAGTTTTGATAATTTCAGTAGTTTGAAAACTCAGTTTAGACAGAACACCATTTCTGTTTGTGTTTTGTTTGTTTTTTTAACAGATTATATCTTGTAAAAAAAATCTATTTTCAAGTGTATGTTAAGACAGTGCAAGATGTGTGGGGGTGATTTTTGTTTCTGTTCTTGACAGATAAAGAAGACCAGTTCGGAATCTGAAATGGAGCACTGGATGGATTATGTCAAAGACAGGTAAGAAAATAACGAAGCACATGCAGGATAACTTTATCCTGAAGGTTTCTGGGACTCTTGCCAAATACTTTTTTGTGAAAGTGTTTCTGTTCTGCAGGAGGGAAAACTTTTGAGGGAGTAAGAGCTGTTTTGCTTGCTGCTTTTTTTTTTTTTCCTAGTAGATTTGACATCTATGATCTGTACAGAACAGTATAGAAAAACAGGATTTCCGTTTGTTATTTGGATCTTTAGGTCAGAGTATATATCTTGAAAGGGAATGTGTAATGCTAATCTGTCTGTCTTCAAACTTTCTTCAGACTTCTTGCTAATGAAGTCTGCTCTGGGAAAAGGACAGGTTTTACACGGTAGCTAAATCTTTTCTTAAGGGTAGCTTAGGTAGTTTATTCAGTACTTTGTATTCACTATCACTTGAGTCATCGTCTCTCATTTAGCTTTAGTATTTTGATGTTAATGTGACTAGTTCAGACTTAGATGTGCTTTAGAGGTGAGACCTGCTCTCCTCAGGCATAAATACGCACCTAAGAAGTGTAGTTAGTTTTAGATTCCTATCTTAAGCTGAAACTGGTATCTCAAAAGTAGATGTAAAACTCTGAGGTGCCAAAGTTAGGGCAGCAGCAAAAATGGATAGCTTTTATAAATATGCTTTTGCTGTATGTTTCCATCCTTAATTTCAGGCTTGGTTTGGCTCTGTTCTTTTATCTCCATTTCTTTTCTGCAGCAGCAATAAGTCTCTTCTTACTTTAGGTATCAGTCTTTTCAGAGTGATTACAGATATCTGCTGATAGCAGTTAAGTATTGTTATAGCCTTTAGAATTCTCACTTTCTGCTCACATTTGGATTGTCATGGCAATTGAAGTGTCTTTAAATGTACTAATTTTTTGTTTTTAAAAGGAAATGTTCTTGAGAATCCTATCTGAGTGTATTGCAGGACTTTGAACAAATTGCCTTTGGCTCACATGATGTGAGTGTTCAGTAGTTCTCAGTGTAATTCAGATTGAGATGTTTCTTCATGTGTATTGGGCCCTGTCCGCTAGAGTTTAAACGTAATGGGCTTGGGAAAACTAACCACATAGCAATACATGTTTCAAAGAATGTTGAGGTCTTATAAAAGATTCTTAAGATAGCTAACTAATGATTATTTAATTCTATAATGAGCAACTTAAAGGTCATGAGGATTACTTGCCACAGAAGAATTAGTTCTGCTTCTGCTTGAAATTAGCATGTTTTAATAACAGTGATAAGCATTTGGTTTCTGTCTGCATGTGTAGCTTAACTATTCAGTATGCTAGTGCCGGTAATGCAGGAAAAAAAAACCGAACTGCCAGATTGTGGAAGTGAAAATTTGTGCCGTGCTTAAATGTAGGGTATCTCATTCTATGTTGAATCTTGCGGCCTGGGATTCTACATATTCAGTATTACTAAGTTTATGTAGCTAATGAGACTTTGTTAATGACCGTGTTTTGGAAGTCTATGGATTCAAATCTGAAGTATGTGAAAATTTATGGGCTTTCAGGATGAAAAATGTGAATGCTGATATTAGAAAACACTGGCTTGCATAGTGACCTAAAGAGCTGCAAATGCACTGATTTGCATAATTGCATTGGCAGTTATTTGAGTTTTGCATTCATTTTTGTGCCAATAAGATATTAATTCGTATTTATCCTAGCCAATTCCAAGTGATACCAAAGGGTTAAAGAATTCAGCTAAATTAACAGAAAAGCAGGCACATTCTTTAGCCTGGCATCTCAAGGTTGGGAAGCATCAAGAAAAAGAACAAATGATAAAAGAAGGGACACTGTTATCTAAGTAGGCAAGAATGTGGAGAGAGGCCTCCAAGAGAGAGAGTTCTAGATGTGAAGGGAGCCAAGCTGATAAAACGTTACAACCCACAGACATCAACAATAAAGTAGTTGAGAGCAGGACAGAGGTAATTGTGGTAGTGGGAGATCACGACCTCCAACTCAAATAACCCTCCCAAAAGAGGACAAAAACGTAGCACCCCGCCCCCCCGAAAGAGGGCAAAATCCCACTTGGGGAGCATGCGCAGTTAAAGAGGCTTCGTTGGTTCTTACTGAGGATGTGTACTAATTTACATTAGAAGCAAGAAACTTATAACCAATCCTAAGTGTGAATAACTATTAATATGTAGTGTATTATGAATATGCAAATGTCTCATGGTATATAATATGTATCTTCATTTTACTCGGTGTGCATGCTTGGAGGAGCGATCCCCCATGCACGTGGCGCTGCAATGAACCAATGTCAGCTTTCTAAACTATCATTTGGTTTAGAGAGTTTTCTTGGTTACAGTTTTCGGTAACACAGGTAGTTGACTGTGCAAACTGAATTGTGTTGTAGCTGCACTCAACTGCCACGTATTTTTTGAAGGCAATATAATCTGTTCAAGTTGATGGGAATTTTCAAAATTGAAGTATACCTAGTGTTGGTTTGAAGACAATGTGAGGTACTGCATTTGTAATTAATGAAAAAATCTAATAAGGTTGTTTTCCATGTGCATTTTATACTTCATCAGACCTACCAATGACCTGAGATACCCAATGAATTCAGAAAAAATGCATAACCTAGGATGGAGACCTAAAGTGCCTTGGAAAGAAGGAATAAAGAAAACAAGTAGGACTGGTGACTTTTACACTAACTGATTTAGAAGTGATGGGAGGAGAGAAAGGGAAAGGGGGAAAAAATGGGTATATAAGTTAGTTAATGAGAAGCTAAAGAGAGGGAATTTAAGACACTAATTTTATATAAAATTGGCTGCTTTTTAAGTAGTGAATTTACCTGATTTAAAAACCCAAAAGTTATTAAAGTAGCATCAGGTACTAGAATTAATTACTTTTTAATGCTAGAATAAGTCTTGCATGAAGAATTTATAAATCTAAACTAGATTTTTTTTTTTAATATTGTAGGTTAAAATTTTGCATGATGAACTATTAGCCTGTTGTTAGTCTTACAGTATCTGTGGAATATTTGAATTTCCCTGTTATCTCCGGTCAACCTGACTCATCAACATTCTTTTCATACTAGTTGAATGGTACAAAGAAAACTTTCACAACTGGAAAAATTCAGAGAAAGCTTTGGAACCCTTTCCTGTGACAGAGCCATTTGCACAGCTCAGTGGTCCATAGGGTGGCGGAGAACCTGAAGAAGTTTATTCTACCTCATAGAGTCTTGTCTTGGAAGCCTGCAATCAAGTGGCCACGCTGGACTCTTAATGTGTTCGAGATCCATGAACCGTGGTGAATACAGGACTGCAGTGTGGTACAACTCTGGAAAGGTTTCAGCACTTTATAAGTTGAACCTGTTAATTTCAGCTTTTGGTGCAATACTATGTTCTCACAAGGTATTGATTTTAAAGAACTGCACAGGGTGATAAATATAATGCTATAAATTAGTGTAACTGAAGTCAGATCTGCCTTATTAATTAAGAGTGATTAATTGCGATTACAGCTTTTGGGACTTTCAGTAAAATTTCTTTTAGTTCTGGAATCATTCATCTGTATTAGTTGGTTTTTACAGTGTAATATGTTATTTTTGTCACTTTAAAGAGTTGTGTTTTATTTTTAATCAAGGGGGAAAACGCTGTATTTTCTGGAGAGTGTAAATGAGTTGATAAAAGCTGGATACGGCACCCACGTGGTTCAGTCCTTTTCTCTGTTGATGCAGTATTACCTTCTGTAGATGACTGATTAAACTGTTATCTACTCTGGAACTTCAAATGCCCTTTTTTAAGGGAGGCAGAGGGGAAAGGTGTCAAGAAGTAGCAGGTTTTCTCGCTGAGATTTCCAGAAGAATTTTTTTAAACTTTGCTCTGTTTTAGATGTCATGTTTTTACTGTATTACTGTCTTTTACATGTTAATTTCCTTTTTGTAACTGAAACAAACTTGAAATACTGTAACACAGTTAACATTCCAGTGATATTATTTCCTGTGATATGAAGGCTATTTATGGAGAAAAATTTTAAACACTTCTTTTCCTGTGAATTGTGGGTTGACAGACCTTGTTCAATGCAGTGTTTTGCGATTTTTTTGGGGTGTGACAAACGTTTTAAAGATGAAACAATATTTGAGGTTTAATGTAAAGTTTGGGAGGGAACGTCAATTCTAGGAATACGTCAATGAATCTTTTTCAAAGTTGATTTAGTAATAAAAGTTACTTTGTAACTGGTTTCTCTTAATTAAGTAAATGTGCTGAAAAAGTAGGTGATGGGGTTTTTTTTTTTGTATATTTCTTAGTTCTTCCTGTATCCTGAAAAAATTATCTTCGCTTTTTTGGCTAAGAGGTGGCAGACATAGAAGGGACAACTCCTCTTGGTTTTATCACTTTAGCTTCTGTACTTGGCGCAGTCCCAGACCCTTCTGTTAACCCTTGGGCAGAGCTGCAGAACCACAGGACTAGGATGCTATGGTGTACTCGGAAATTGCTGCGACTTCTAAAATCTCTCAGAAATTAGGAGTTAACTCTCAAAACACAAGTATGTGCGGAAGTCCTTTCCTTATCACCCTAAGTGTGGGAAGAATGGAGCTTGGGCCATTTGCCCTAGCTTTTGCCCCTGCTAGAGTTTCAGTAGTAACTGAACGTAAAACTTAATAGTACTGACCCAGGTAGCCCACAGGTCATGCTGCCTTTGGGCCCACACTGCTCCCAGCTTCATCACACCTCTTGTGTGGTGCATGGTGCTGTTGATAAAATGCAATTCTTGGCTGGTAAAAGTCCTTTTAAAAGAAGGCTGAACAGTCAGTGTCTAGGCTTACCTTAGCACCGAGTATGTGTTCTAAATTCTAGCAATGGGTTATTGACGGTGAGGTTTCTGTGACAAAGTGGCATAATAATACTGTGCTAGAGCTGCATTGCATTTGTATTTTTGGGGTTTCTGATGCTAGGTTTGGTAGCCAAAATCTCCATTTGGGAAGGACAGAAGTTACAGGACTTGATATGTACTAGTCTATTAGAATATTTGGCTTACCAGATACTTAAGGTTAGGTATCACTTGAGGTTAATTAAGTTTAAGAATCACTTAAATTTCATTGTCAAACACACATTGCTGGTAACACTCAAACATTTTCTTAATTTTTATATTTTCGTGAGATACAGCTTTCTTACAATATGCAGAGAGTTACTTCTCTATCTTACTGTTTTGTATTTTACAAACATCCATACCTGAAAATAGCTGAAGTACTGCAAAGATCTGTTTTGGCTGTATTTATGCTTACTGTGGCAGCTGCTTTGGATGAGCTGCATGAAAGTATGTATCCTTCACATCTGGTTATGTGATGTGTCTTTAGCTTTAGGAATAGAGATTCTAGATTATTATTTTAAACCTTACAAATAGGTACAGTGTCTTTGGAACATTAAAAATCAATTAACTTGTGATAGTGTTAGATCAGAAATACACAGCAGTAAGCAGTAGCATGTGATTGGTTTATTGAATAGATCTTTTGAAAGTTGTTTTGAATGTTTAGATGCTGAAAATTCAAACTTTGACATTCATGTGACTATGCAAAGAAGTGATAGTACTGGAAGTGGATTTTTCAAAAGGGTCTATGAATTTTTAGTGGAAGCTGTTCTAGTTTGTTTAAATGTTTTTGAAGATTTAATCCTTCCATGTGTTTGAGGTTTTTGGCTCAGTGTTCCTACTTTTTATATGTATATAAAAATAAATATATACATGCACACTTTGAAAACATGTAAGTATATATTTAAAAAAAAATTAGGAGGCTTTGCTTTGAGCTGCTTTGCTGTAGATCAGGTTGCCTTAGCAGGTGAGTGCTCTGGTAGGTGCATTCCTTTGACAAGGAAAAGTCGTTTTACTGTTAAAGAAAACAGCTTGTTTTGCCATTAACCTTCTGGCTTCTGTAGGAAGAAAAGGACAAAGGATCAACTAGTGAACTGTTAATGTGGAGAAATGTAGTGCCTTCAGTTTTTATTTCTCACTGTTTTTACTTGGAAGATATGAAGAAGTGTTTCTGAGGAAGGCAAAGGTAGGGACGTAAAATGCCATGAACACAGCAATCTTTCACTCCACTTTTCTCAAGGTTTGTGTCACAGAACGAAGTGAGGTTATGCCAATAAGAAAATAAATGGAGTAAATATGTATGTCACTTAAATTGCCAAAACTTTCAAAAAGAGAAGGGCTAGCCTTTGGTGAAGGGTTTATCTCCACGTTGCATCACGGACAAGAAGGTCACGCTTGGGAAATTACGTGGGGACACCTGTCAGTTCTGCATCTCTCTTTGGGGTTACTGTTGTGGGTTGATCGGATGTTTAGGAAGCAGCTCCTGAAATCGCTTGTGTGTTGGGGAAAGCCGACATTGGTAGCCCATCAGCTTGGCGTCCCACTCCTGCAGCTCGGTACATCCCTTGCAAGCAGCAAGTGAAAGAGTTTGGAAGACGGTGAAGCAGGCAGCTGAGGCAAGGCTGGCTGCAATCTACCTGCCCTGCGGGTCGTGGCCTGTGGGACCTTTGTGTGCCGGTATCGGTTCCAGTTTATGTCGTGGAGATCATCCTTGCTTGCCTACGTTGGTATGCTGCCTGGTATTAAGAGGGTACCAGTTGTGGTTGAGGCTGGGTTATACCTTCATAATGTGACAGACAAGAAAATAGCTTTTGTTTGTTTATCCTGTCCTTTACTAGATACAGGAGGAAGGTTGTAGGTGAAAAAAATTGTAGTGGTTTTTGTTTTGTTTGTTTTGCTTTGTTTTTTAACTCCAATCGCTATTCTGAAGGGGTACCAAATAGCACAAACTTGGTTTCCCATTAGGAGAAAGTTGTGAATAGCTTTGGCTGGACTCGTAAAGCTCTGTTTTGCTAAAACTGTGCTCTTATGCTCTTTAAATAGCCATGAAATGCTAGTATGTCTCTACTTTTCAGTAAGAGGAACTTTCATATGAAAAAAACCAAATTTTGTTGGGGGGGGAAAGTGACTGTTTTATTAAATACTATATTTGAGACTGAATTGCCCTTCTCTTGTGTTTTTGTTTCATTTTGGTTTTGCATTACCTTTAGTTTTTATTTCCATTGCCATTTCCATTTCACCTGGCAAAACAAAGGTTTCTAAAAATATTAAAAATTAGAGTAACTGGTTAGTCCATAGTAGCTCTGATTTTTGTGGTAATGTATAAGTCAATAATGCCTTGACTTCTACGCGTGTCATCACACATTTGGAGTTTATCTGCACCAAAGATCACAAGATTATGTTAGCTGCATCAATAGGAGACACGCTCATTAAGTAATTACATTCATCATTTCTCAGCAAAACAATAATTGCCAGTGGCAATGGAAAATCATGAGAGTATGAGATTTTGTTATCAGTATGTTAACACACTTCTTCAGTACAATGGTGTGGGGTGTTTTTTTTTTTAACCTCTCCCTAACTGAAATTTTTTCTTAAGGAGTTTTTGTTTTCAGTCACTAAACTGCTGGCCCAGTCCTCAGCATTTTGACTTCTGAAAATATGTCTTTGACTTCTGAAACTATGTCAGCTCCTGAAGAACAGTGATTGCTCATAAAAGACTTTCCAAAAGTGGGGACGACTTGAGGAAAACTATACCCTGAAAGTAAGAGGCAATGTCGGGGTGTGTATCACCAAATATTCACAGGGCTAGTTTGGGAAAAAGCTGCTTCTTCCACACTCAAAAAAGGAGGGATTTGTTAAACTCCTCTATTACTGTGGAAGAGAGAGAGGTTGGTTTGGCTTTTTTTGACTGAGAGGAGGGAGAAGCAGCGGACAATCATGCAAAGGAGCATTTTTCCCCACACAGCATGCAGGGAGCATGAATAGGGGATGCTCTCACAGAGGATAGCTTTTTCTAGAGCCGTGGGATGTGCAAATAATGACAAACTTCAGAGCGTGAGTGTCCCGCACCAGTGCCACACGTGCTACTGTGTGTGCTCGTGTGCATCCTCTGCCTTCGCCCTGTAGCCACAGGGCTGTGGTAGCAGTTGCCTGTCGGAATAAATGCCTAACTGAGAAGGTGAGAATAAATTAATTTTTCTTATAACTCTGCTTTAGTTGGGATTTGTGATTCATGCAGACACATAAAGCTTCTCCCATGGAGCGTGCATCTCTGAGCAAGACCAGGGAAAAATGAGGATGGAGGTGCCCTGTCTATTCACCTCTATTTGTGG